TCTCTCTCTCTCTCTCTCTCTCTCTCTCTCTCTCTCTCTCTTGTCCGTAGAAAATAGAAGATTGTATTTTCTTGGCTGCCAAATGTATCGTATCATCTACATGGGCTCGCCAGCATATCTGAGTGAACTTTTTACCCCACTTAGCCCCATCGCTCAGAAGATCCACTCGAATTGCAAATTGTTCTTCGCAAACCTTCCATATCCCAGCTTTCCGAACGGAAATATATAGAAATTCCTTTCTGATATCGTCCATCTATTTTTGGCACTCTCTCCCGGACAATATTACATCAGCAACTACTGTTGCAGCTTTTAAGAATCTCCTCCGATCCTACCTGCTGTCATCCGAATTCTCAGACTAAGTTCCTTGATATTTTAGCGTGTAGTTGTGTATAGAGTACTCGTAGTATTCTCTTCTCCTAGTATTACCTGCGTTCGATTTAGTTGCATTGTGTTTCTTTATTTTGTTTGCTTGTAGATTATGTGCTTTTCTAGTATTAAGTTGCGTTTAAATTTAAATTGCGCGTGTCACTGTATTTTTATTTTTATTTTTTATATTTTGTTTATTACTATATTTTGCTATCTTTGCCCTTTAGCTATGCTTGGGCATAAATATACTTATCAATCAATCAATCAATCAATCTCTCTCTTTCTCTTTTGTTACCTCTTGTAACAACGAAAACGTCTGATTATTATCATGAACAATCGGAATTACATAAGCGACTTGTCTAAGTTTTTCGGTGCCCATAATTAGTTATATAAGCAATGTTTCATATTATCTCTAATTATCTATAATCTATGTTGAAATAAATACTTTGGAAAAACTATTATATATATAGCGAGCGTTATTCAATGTTTTATTTTTTTGTACATATTTGCTGAAATCGCTCTCAAATGATCATATATAATATTACAAATAATTTTTAATTATTAATTTAAACCTTGTAGATATATCTCTTAACAAGAAAATTTATAATATTAGAAGTTATATATATTATATAGTCAGGAAAGCCGGCAATTGAGAAAGTTAATCGATTAAAAAGGAAATAGAAATAGAAACTGATAAAAATACAAACTAATATTATTAAAACATAGAGATATACTGTTAATTAGCGTTATCTACAACAGGTAACTATCTATTTAATCTTCATCTCCGTTTTGGCGGGACCATTCCTGGTATCACGAGCAAGGACGCGAGCAAAGACGCAGGAGAACGTGACATCCCAGCTCTAGCTGGGTTACTGAAGTGGCACCATATATCCATAATATTCTTGTTGAGGAATAGAGAACCGATCTTTCCTGCTGTGTGGCCTGCTGTATTTTAATAATATTATTCGATTTCGCTTTTGGCCTACAAAGGTTAGAGACCTCTGATATTTGTTAACTTACGCACATGCATATTAGATTTAAATTTCCAAATTTGATAAAAAAAGCATTTTTAATTTAATTTTATTCTTTTAGTTTTCAAAAATAATTTGCACATTTAATATGCCTCTAGAAAAGGAAATTGTTAGTAAACGACAACTGCGTCGCAAAATTGAACGTAAATTAAAAGCAGTGCTTGCAGATTGCAATAAAAATAATGATATTTCTTCTATCTCCACGCAATTAAGTTTTAAAGATAATGAAAAGTTTATATTTCAAACTGTTGCAAAGACAGACTGTGAATCCGATTTTATTAATATTAAACTATTATCTGATAATGAAATTAACTGTAAAAATACGTTAGATCGTTGTAGTATTAATGGAAACGAGTCGAATTTTGAAAATAATGTTTATAATAGCGATGATGATTTTATTGTAAATGAAGATAACATACTTGCGAGTATAAGTAGCGCTGATTTTAACATACAAACAGGTCCTTCATGTGTAAGTACAGTTGTCGCAGAATATACGCCTGTGCATGATCCAAACAAAAATAATTATTCTAAATGTGATGAAACTAGAAGTGCAATATTGAATCCAAATGACTTACGCAACTGAGCTCTCAGAAATAATATCAAGCACACCGCAATCGATGAACTTTTGCAAATGTTGAAACGGACATATAATTATTTACCACTTACTGCGAGATCTCTCTTAAAGACTCCGAAAGAGACGAAAACTTTTACTTTAAATAATGGTGACATGTGTTATTTTGGCATAGAGATGAAATTAAAACAAAAATTAAAACGTGGTTTAAAAGATACGTTAGTAGATAATGTTATTCAATTAGATTTTAATATTGACGGTTTACCACTGTTTAAGAGTAGTTCAACTGAATTTTGGCCTATATTAGTACGAAGTGATGTGTTTCTTGATGATTCACCGTGTATGGTAGGTTTATTTTGCGGAAGTGGAAAACCTGATCCGTTGGAATTATTTTTAGATGATTTCATAAAAGAAATAAATGATCTAATATTAAATAATATAGAATACGAAGACAGTGTATTTAAAATAGAAATAAGAACTTTTATTTGTGACGCTCCTGCGAGAGCAATGTTAAAAATGATTATGGGTCATACAAGTAAACATGGTTGCGAAAAATGTTGCATAGTAGCAAAAACCGAAGCCTCTAATAAAGAGCATAATAAATTTTTTAAATCCCATTTAAAAAGGAAATTGTATTATCCGGTGAAAAAAGAATACGAAGCAAGAAAAAATAGTGATTTTTCATTAAATCAAATTAACTGTACACATATTAAAGGTATATCTCCTTTACTTAAAATCAAAGATATAGGATTAGTGACACAATTTCCTTTAGATCCTATGCATTTATTATACTCAAGTGTTGTGAAACGGATTATAGTAAACTATTTGATAGAGGAAACACGTAAATGTAAATTATCGAAAGGAAATTTAGTTAATATGAATTGTATGATGAAACAATTACGAAAATATGTATCAAACGAATTTGCTAGGAAACCTCGTAGTTTTAAGGAAGTGAAAAGGTGGAAAGCTGTGGAATTCCGGAACTTCATAATATATCTTTGTAATGTATAATAACTTAGACAGCAAAAGATACAATCATCTCTTATTGCTACACATAGATGTAACGATTTTATGCAGCAAAACATTAATTGCTTCATATTTGCATATTGCAAAGCAAGCTATAATTAAATTCGTTCAGCAGTCAGCAACAATATATAGTCCATGCTTTGTAGTATATAATGTACACTCCTTACTTCATATTTGCAAAGATGTAGAAATGTATAGCCCACTAGAAAGTTTTAGCTGCTTTCCATTTGAAAATTATTTAAGTAAGATAAAAAGATTAGTTCGTGGTACCAAATTTCCACTTCAACAAATAGCAAATCGAATTACAGAACTAGATACTTTAGTTCTAAATTGTTCCATTAAAACAGAGTATATATTTCGAAACAAATTGTTGGTAAATCGCAAAATAAAAGTTCATTTAAATGCTTGACTTTAATAACTAACCGTTTCAAACTTTCCGTAAGAAGACCAAATAACATCGTTTCGGTTTATAATAAAATTGTGGAAATTAAACATATTATTTGCATAGAAGGGCGTTATAAATGTGTTGAAACACCTTTTAAATATATACAGGATTTGTACAATACTCTTATTCCATCTTCCAAATTAGGTATATTTTTTGTTCACGGTTGTGATTTATCAATTACATTCTTCGTAGAAGAAATAAATCATAAATGCCTACTTTTTCCGTTCAAAAACGGAATATATGCTACATTACGGAATGTATGCTACATTTCCAATTCAGCACCAACAAGGAAATAAATAAGATCTAATAAAGTTTTACAGATTTATGTACATTAGTTTTACGTAACACTTTCCACACGTACCTTATATGAATAGATAGTTGCATTACTAAAGACACATAATTTTAGGGATATATGTATATAGACTGCGAAATAAATATCTTAATTATTTTAATTGCGTGGAGAATTTTTTCTAAAAATAACTAAAAATTATAATTTATACAGATAGCCATAACATGAATGTAAATGAATTTAAGTGACAGTTATATATAAATTGTTAAATTATAATTGAGATAGCTGCATTTTTATAAATATTAATTATGAATATATTTACTCAATGTACCAAAAATAGATACTAAAAAATAAGGCACAAGACAAATCCCACTGGCTACAATGAGTGCCTATGCAGTGGTACAATTTTTAAATGGCACTCAGAAAAAATGTGCAGTCGTCCCTCTTATCTGGTTAACAGATAATAATTCAGTTTGTTACTGGCCAAATACCAAATCTGATGGCAAATTTAAAGCATTAGTAAAATCTAATGTAGTCTACCAATCGTCATGGAAAGATTTGACGTTAATACTGTTCTACGTACAGAAGGTATATTATATAAACACATATTCTTTAAACTTATGCAAATTTATACGTAAAAATATCTACAAATATCTGTGCTTTAATATTTATCTGAATGTTTAGATAATTATGATGCGGCTGAGCAGTTTATGAATAATTATATTGAACAAGTCACTTCATCAGATAATTCAACAAATAAAAAAACAAAAATAATTGAAAAACGAAAGAGACCTAAAAGTCCAACTCCGTCTTCAAGTACTGATGATACAGAAGATACAGAAAGTTCTTCAACGAATTCAAGCGATAATAATAGCGATACTGAAAAGATACAGAAAATAAAAGAGTACACAAGGAAGAAGAAAAAGAATAAGAATGATAAAGATTTTTTGCTACAAAAAACAGTTAGTGGTCCACTTAAAAATCAATTAAAACATACAACAAGCATGCAACCCTCATCGCAACAAATACCTGCTGGCCCTACCATTAAATCTATTCAACCTGTCAGTGGAGTAAAAGTAGTTAAACAATCAACTGCAAGACTTGGATGTCAAAATATTGAAGAGACTTCGTCTAGTACTATGGAAACAAATAGCATAGATCAGGAACGTCAATCTGTCGCCGAGACGTCTAGTTTTCGTTCTAATAGCAAGATTCCTCGAATAAAGAATTTTGCATTATTGCCTGAAGTTGAATTTCAGAGCGTTGTTTTATCACACTTACAAAGTATTGAGATTACGTATGAGCAAATTCAGTCACAAATTAATGTACTTCAGCGACATATGAATTCAGCAGGAATGGAAACATGGAAGAAACCTGAAGGGCTACCTAAACTTCCTCTTTCAACTATGGAACAATTTGAGGAAATGGAGAAATTACTAACAGTTGAAGAAAACTTTAATTATTATGTAGGTATAAATAAATGCATTACAGCTTTTAAGATATGTATTAACAACGTTCTTCTTATATAATCACGTACGTATTTTATATATGAATTATACATTTCTTCCTCTCATCACAGCGCAAAAAACTAGCGTCAATCGGTGGCGAAAATCAACGTTGCTGTGTGATGAATATGTTACGACTTCTGTTAACCAACGAATTAGCAACGCACTTTAATTGGGCTGGACGTAAAAATAAGATAGCCTTTAAAGAAAAAAAGATCATGGACGTTATTTATGGTACATGCAACATACAATAATATATAAAAACGTTAATACTATTATTAATCTTTTCACTAATACTTTTTACCTAATTAAATAAAACAATTATACTAATATATTTATTATTTTTTTTAGAAAGTGCTAGACTTGCCTTTAATGAGATAAATGGACCATCCACGGGAGATAAAGTTATTGCAAATGCCGTAAAAGATTGGTTAAAATTAGCTACGAATCGGTTAAGCTATTCTATTGCTAAAAAACCTACATAAATTTTTTATAATTAATTTTTATATTTCTTTTTTTATGTATTTTTAATAATCCGCTTAATAAGAAAACTAATTTTTATAATCTATATATTAAAACTATATTGTGTGTGTGTCAATGTCATTTTATAATATTTTATAATATTTTATAATATATCATTTTATAATATTTTTCTTATAATAAATTATAAAAAAATTATAAGCTTTTATTTTCGCAGTTTTAAAATTGTTTATTTATTTATATGTATATGAGCTATTTATTTTTAAAATGCAGGTGTAAATATATTTTTTTCTTTTCTTCTTTAAATTATATTAAAAACAAAAACTTGTATTTATTTCAATATATTTGTAACCATATTATATATAACATGCACATATTACGACAGAATTTCTTAAAATTAAACTTATACACCACTTTCAAAATAACAAACTCATATATATATATATATATATATATACACATATAATACATATTATACATATATACAAATTTAATAAACACGGATTGGTATAAAAAACGTATCAAAACTCATAGAACCATACGTATTACACACTACGTGTAAGAAACGCATTAGATATACGTGTATAATCGGTGGACATGTCCACAACCTATCCCATTTAATATACGTATTTATAAACGTATTTATATACGTATATGAATATACGCATATGAATACGTTTACAAATACGTTTGTAAAACGTTCATAAATACGTATATTAAATGGGATAGGTTGCGAACATGTCCACCGATTATACACGTTTATCTAATACGTTTTTTATACCGTACGGTACGTATGGTTTTATGAGTTTTTATACGTTTTTTACACCAATCCGTGTTTCACGGGTATAAAACGTACACATATTATACATAGTATACCCACTCTTAGCGTTACCCAAGATCAACCAGCGTGGAGGTGGTGAGTGTCTGATCTCCTTTTTTGTTCTTGTTTTTATTTTTTTAATATTTTTAATTTTTTTTAATATTTAATATTTTTTGTTTTTTTTTTTATCTCATAATGTTTTTCTATTATCTCAAACACCTTGATTTGTCAAGTGTCAAAATATGCTATAATTGATAGTTTTTTATACCACGAGCCTAATAAAGGTAATATTCGTGGTATAAAAAACTATCAATTATAGCATATTTTGACAATTGGCAAATCAAGGAGTTTGAGACAATAGAAAAACACTATGAGATAAAAAGAAAAAAAAAACAAAAAATATAAAATAATAAAAAAATATTAAATAATAAATAAAAAATATTAAAAAATTAAAAACAAGAACAAGAAAGGAGATCAGACACTCACCACCTCCACGCTGGTTGATCTTGGGCAACGCTAAGAGTGGGTATACTATGTATAATATATTATGTATAATATGTGTACGTTTTATACCATCAATATTACCTTTATAGGCTCGTAGCTTAAAAACTAGCATATTTTGAGGGTTGTGCGGATTTGAACTTTTCATCGGCATCACACAAACTACAGTTTTCCGTAGTTTTTGTTGATTTTAACGGTGGCCACTTTTTTCATATAATTAGTGCGTGGTCCTTTCCACGGGAACCTTCTAGAACGGGCGTAAATGGAAGATGCGCAAAAGGGCACGCAAGAGGGTGGTGAAAATCATCGTGTTTTCGCATGATCGCGCCAGATGTGCCGGCCGCGAACAATGGACAATCGGGAAAGTTCGAAGAGTGGGAGCGATCCGGCATAAGTGGGGAGCCAAGCGAGAGCGACCGCTCGTGGCAGTCTCTCGGGTATAGCCATGGCGAACACACGTATCACACTCTGTACGATCGGCATACGCGTTATACTTTACAACCGAGAACTCCCGCGTACTATCGCATAAAATTACTCGTCTTAACTAACAGCGAGGGGCAATTAATTGCCAAATACAATCGAGTGTTAGCAACAATACGCGAGTTGAAATTCGGATACATTGTTAATTAACGGAAGTGCATATCGAGTATATAACAACCACGGGCATTGGGTCACGCGGATACGGAATATTGTGCGGACATTATTAATCATTGTATTTAACCACCGAATGCTCGTTCGTTACATCTGTGCACGAACATTGTATGATAGAGTGATGATCATGGCCGAGTGCGTGATCATAGTTTAACAATCACGGGGCACAGAGTCCTCCGATCGGAATAATTATCTGGAATAAAAGCATCGTAACGACTAAACAAATAAACCGAGATACGCAATTTGAACAATTGTGCAACTTTATTAAAATAAAGCGACATCCACACCGAGGCGAGAAACTCGCGTTGTGAGACACCTTTATGATATTGTGAAACAGCCTGTAATGTTGAAATGATGATCTGGAATTAAAGATTAATTAATTCTGAAACAAATTCTCCTGATTAATTATAAAAAATTATCGATACTTACCTTCTACTTACCTTGTCCTTCGACGATGATCCAACGTTGGCCAGCGGCAATCCGGTATGCGATGTAAAGCGAGGATCCGGGGAAGCAGAGCAGCAACAGCAGCGATCCATCCGAGGCGGGAACCTGAAAGAAAAGAAGCGAATTAGTACATAATTAAAACATAATTATCGGGACTTACCCTTATCTGGTATGCGAGGTAAAGCGAGGATCCAGAGACGGGTAACGGCAACGGCGATCCATTCAGGGCGTCGATCTGCAACAAAACATAAAATAATTATTGTATAATTATTTTATAATTACTTACCTCTATCTGGTATGCGATGTAAAGCGAGGATCCAGGGACGAGAAGCAGCAACGGTGATCCAACAAGGACATCAGTCTGAAATAAAATTCAAATAATTAGGATATAATTATTTTATCCTTAATTACCTCTATCTGGTATGCGATGTAAAGCGAGGATCCAGGGATGAGAAGCAGCAACAGTGATCCATCAGGGACATCATTCTGAAATAAAGAAATCCTATTAGCGTCTTGCAAATAATCGGGGCGTTGATGCGAACTTACCTTCTTGATAGTCTAAGGTTAAACCGAGTGGCGACCGTTCGATAAGAATATTATCCGCCGGAATCGGGCTCAACTTGTGCCGTCCGGTCACAACCTCATCTCCCCTTTTGCGCAAAACATTTTTAACAAGATACACGTCGGGATTAGCAACGCGATGTAACTCGTATTCGTAGAAGCCGCCGGCGATGGGTTTTCCGCAGGAATCTTCCAACAGATACGTCACAGGATTAGTTTTCTGCACTTTGACGATTCTAAACACCTCCGTGGTCCAATTTGGCGTGTATCCTTTGTCGAAGATTGTCTTGAATTTACTCACGCGTACCGAGTCGCCCACTTTGAATCGCGCGGGAGCAGCGATCTTTACGTGGCTGTACACCGTTGTTAGGAGCTTGTCGCCGATCACGGGGGTAACATCAATGGGTCGCATGCCGATAGTTCAATGCTTTCGCGCGTTGTAATCCGATACGAGACCCGGCAGCGAGTCGATCCATTTGTAATTTCCATTGAACGTAAACATTTTCCACATGTCGTTCTTGAGCGTGCGATTGAATCGTTCGACGACCGATGCCTTCATTACGGAATAGGTCGAATAGTGATTGATATTATGTTTTTTCAAGAGTTTCTGCACGTTGGCGTTGTAAAATTCTTTCCCCTTGTCAGTCTGCAGATTGTTCGGAGATCTTCCGCCGTCTCGAATTATTTTTGCAATCGCCGTAGTAACCTCGGGTCCGCTCTTGGCCTTGAGCGGTACGGCCCATGCATGCTTGCTCAACACGTCGATAACGGTGAGTATGTAGTGGTAGCCTCTGTTGAATCGCGTGTATGGACGCATCTCGATCACATCCGCCTGCCACAGGTCATCGTATTCGCGCACTATGACGCGTCTTCGCGAAAAATTTCTTCTTGCAGGAGCGTGTAATTTTTCCACCAGCCACCGTTTCTCAGCTGATTGCTTCTTACTAGCCATGACGATGGCGCGCATCTGACGCAGAGATCAGATGTGCGTTCTTATCTATTCGCGATGATTTGCAATTACATTTTGAATCATCTTTTGAAGTTCGTTTAGGGTAATTTGCACGTTATTCTGGAATGCGGCCATTTTTCTCTTGATTTCATCCTGCCGATCTTTCAAAATTTGCACGCTCTGCTGCACGTAACGTTTATTGGCGGCAACGCCATCATCTACAGGCGGCGCTATCCGTCGAATCTTGCGCGATTTCGCGTCAAAGTCGGTGGCGACCATGCAAAGAGCGTTATCGCGCACGTAATTTCTGATTAATCCGCTCCATTAATAGTACGGTTCCGCATCGCCCCTTCCGAGCGATATACCAAACTTGTTGATCGGCATTTCGATGTTGATTGAACGGATCACTGTCGCGCCATTTAATTTATAATAAGTCCAGCCTCGCGAAGTTCCTCAATAATCGACAGGATCTCGTTATCGTGACCGGTGTGACCCGCTAGGCGCAAAGCTTCGAGCAATTGGAGACGATCTACGAGCTCGTTGGGATCATCCCAATGAACATAGTCGATCTTGTTGTCGTTTAATGTTATGGCACGCGGTATACCTTTTCCAGCTTTTTTACACGAAATCGACGATGCAATTATATGGTCGATGTTGTTGCCGTTTAATGTCATGGCACGCGGTATACCTTTTCCAGCTTTTTTACCCGAAATCAACGGTGCGATTATATGTATGTACTTGTATCCCCTGTTGCCCTTTATTTGAGAGTGAGCATCATAATTGCGTTTATGAGCATTCGTCATCAACAGAATGTTCTTGTACGCTTGCATATCGTCCTCCGTGTAGATATCGACATTGGGATATTTCTTAAAGATCAACTCGTAAAGACCGCGTGTGCCATTGTATCGTATGCCGTCGATAATTATCTTGTCCGCGTGGTTCACGTTCAAAACGTTTATTACCGAGCATCATTTCATTGATGCGAACGATCTCGCAGAACGACAAGTGGCAGACAATATACTCGCCGCGAAAGCGCAAAAACGTGTCACCGCGAACGATTCGACTCTCGGAGAGAG